AGAAAGATTAGACCAGGGTGGTGCAGTCTCCCTAGCGACCTCAGACCTGCCTAGGTCTGGAGACCCAGCCCATCCCGCCCCCGGCTTTGCCATCTGTGAGCTCAGGAACTGCGGGGACGGCACTTCCCCTCGCTGGGCCTCTGGGTCTAGTGCCGTTCCTCCTCTCCGGAGGGGAAGGGCATGGCGTGCACGTGGTGCCCCCAGCAGGAGTGACAGCCGCCGTGAACCCCAGGCCCACTGCTCCTGGTCCTCTGTGCCCCAGAATTACCCCCTTTCAGCCTCGTCATGGCCCTAGGAGGTGGGTGCAGCAGTCCGTCCTGTCTTACAGATGAGCAGACTGAGGCTTTCAGACTCGCAGAAATTGCTTAGGAGCTTGGCTGAGACCTCAGTTCTGTCCAGTTCTGGAACGGATCCCCAGCAGCTACCCTGTGTTCCTCCTAGGCACACAGACAACACAGGCTAATCAGTGGCGATTATTGTGTATTATTTCCCCAAAGTGCAACTGAATAGGGTTTGAACTCCATAGGGGTCCTCAGTCACCATGCCAGCAGCAGAAGACAGGGCCGGCTGCCACCTCCTCCCCAGTGGGATGGCCATCTCATTCCTGGCGTGTTTCCAGGCGGCCGCTCCCTGATGGAGAACCGTTCCTCCCCCACCCTGCCCACTCACACTCTCCTCCTTGGACCGGCCCTCCGCTGCTCCCTCCCTCTCCGGGCCCCGTTGTGTCTCCCTGATGCACATCACTACTCGTCTCTTTCCTCCTCAGTTTAGGAGATAAGAGCAAGTAATTGTCTTTTATAGACACTGTAATGAAGCCTGTCATCACACAAAAGAAGTTTGCTAATAAAATAAATCAAAGCAGCAATGAAAATGAATAGGGAGCAAGCTTTTACAATTAGATTTGCACTTGTCTGGTGGCATGGCGTTTCCAGAGAGAGAATGCTCCTGGGGGAGGGGCCAGCGCCCGGCTGACAGGCCACAGGCCGTGTGGGAGCTCCTGAGGGTGAACCGGCAAGGCTGCTGGAGCGGGCAGGGCTGGGGGTGGGGTGGCTGGGACGGGGCTGCATGGGGGTGCAGAACACTGACAGCAGAGAGGGGCTGCACAAATGTCATCTCGGTGGCCTGTATCTGTCTCCATCCAGATGAGATGGGGCCCAACCAAACGTGATTCTGGCCTCGGCCAGCACTGCGACTCCCCCTTCTCGGCCACCAGTGGGACTCTTGTGCCGGCGTGTTACCTGAGGCAGAGCAGAACACTTGGGCGCCTGGCCCCCAAGGGTGCCCCGTGACTCTGCCCACTTCCCACCTGGCCCTGTCAGTCTTCTGGTCGGTTGCAGGGTCTGCCACCAACTCCATTAGAAAAACTACTTCCCCTCTCTGAGCCTCAGTTACTCCATTTGGGAAATTGGGCCATAGGAGGAAAATCATGATGGTGCCAGGTCAAAGGGCAAGCGCCGGATGAGAAGAGGGCGGCTGCCCAGGTGAATGCTTGCGTGAGGCCCCACAGCTGCACGAGGCGGCGTTGGGACTGGAGAGTGGTGTGTGCTCGTCACCCTCGTGCTGTGGCGTTTGTAGGTCTTGAGTGGCTGCTGCCTCAGCTGTGAAGGAATGGGGGAGGGTCCTGAAGATACACAGGTGGGTGACCTGGAATCCAGGACCATCTCTGACCGGCTCCCCAGCCCAGGGTGAATCAGGACACTGTTCTTTGCCTCCAGCTCTTGTCCTGTCCTCGGAAGGAGACCCTCCCCATCCCCTGCCCCAGACCTGGGATCCTGCCTGTAACCAGCGACCACCTTGGGGGCGTTGACTGCCAAGGTGACTTCTGGGTGGCAGAGGGAGTTCTGATGGACTGAGTGTGCCTTGCACTGGGCCCCTCCCAGGCTGCTCAGGTGCTCCCAGAGGACTCGGGAGTTGGCAGCAGCTTTAGCTAAACAGGTGTCTGTCCCTTTAAAGGCAGTTCCCATTCTGAGTCGGCCATCAGTGCGTCCTGTCCAGGGCAGGACAGGGCAGCCGGGACTCCTCGGGGCTCTGGACATCCTTCCCAGCAGATCAAGGTCACCCTAGTCCCCGGGGAACCTTCAAGCTGATGGCAGTGTGGTCAGCGCCAAAGGAACCCGAGGTCACAGCAGAGAAGAGGGTTTGGAAATTGATCACGTGTCTGCATTACGGAAGGTTCCTTGCCAGGCAGAGCTGGAGACGCAGCCTCGTTAGCTAATGTGAGTTTAATACAGAGCTGCGCGAGCGGGCCGCCAGCGCAGCCAACTGCCCGGGAGACATTCAAAAATAGAGCAGGGCAAGGTGTCCCCCACCTGCTCGGCGAGCTCCCCCTCCCAGAAGACGGGGGCAGCCCAGCAGCGTCCTGGGCGATATCCGCCAGACAAAAGCATCACTTCCACATCAATCACTTCGTATAAAAGAAGAGTTATTGTTATGGGATCCTGGCGCCTGATCAATATCTCCCGCTTTGAAAATAAACTTCTTGGCTTGGCCTTGACATTAATCTACCATCAGGAGCCCATTATCCCAAGACCAATGTTCTGTTCTATTGACTTGCTCGATTTTTTTTTCTCCCCCAAGATCAGAATAGAATTGCATTTCTCCAGGCAGCACTTTCACTAATTGCAGCCCCAGATCCCCTTGCAGAAAGCCCGGAACAGAGGACATCTCGGTTGGGATGGGGCGAGTGGCTGGCAGGGCGTCACGGGGGACCGGGGGACCGAGAGCCCTCAGGCGCGTGAGGTAGAAAGAAGAGTGGCCCTTCTGGCACACCTGACTTAATCAAGACAGTAACCAAATCCCCAGGCCCGTCGAGCGGTTCAAGCTGGAAAGGCTCTTTTGCACAGAATCGGCGTTGTTGGTGTCCCCGCTCCCACCCCTCATTCCACAGATGAGGACCTGGGGCAACAGCGTTGTCCGGACTGTCCCAAACCCAGCTGTGTCCCACCATCACCACAGCCAGGACCGCCTCACCCCAGCAGGAGCCTCCAGGCCTTCCCTCCCTGAAGCCTGCCACCTGCTGGCCGTCCCCTGCACAGGCAGGCAGTCACCTTGGTGAACTGAAATTGGATGATGTCATCTCCTTCACCGAGGACTTTCAGCCAAGACTCCCCATTCGTCCTGCACGACCCTTGTGATTGCCCCCACTCACCTCTCTGGCCTCCCCTCCCGTCGCTTCTCCCTCTGCTCCAGGCCTCTGGCTCGCTTTCTCCAGCAATCATGCCAGGGCCCTACCTCAGGGTCTTTGCATCTGCTCTTCTCGCCACCTGCTCTCTCACCCCTCAGATCGTTATGTTACTTCTACTTCTCCTCGTGTAGGACTTGCCCCAGCCATTCCAGGCTGAAGGGAGCTTTCCCTGACAGGTGTGGGTGGCAGCCCCCCCCCCACACACACAGCGAGCCTATCCCGGGACCTCATGTGGCTGCCTTAAAGCACATGTCACCATCTGAAACTGTCCCCCCAAACAGGGCATCTTAAAACAGTAATAAACAGTTATCGGAAAGTCTGTGTGGGTTGGGGGCAGCTTCGCAGGATGGATCTGCCTGGGTCTGTCTTGAAGTCCAGTCCACGTGTCAGTCAGGGCTGCAGTCACCCAACAGCTTGGCCACGGCAGGGGCCTCAGCTTCTGAGCTGGCTCATGCACGTGGCTGGCAAGTTAGCACAGTTAGCAGGAGGTCCCAGCTCCCCCCAACCTGGGCCTCTGCACACGGCCGCTTGAGGGCCCCAAAGCAGTGATCCCGGGAGTCAGGCGGGAGCCCTGTCATGTCTGCAGGATGCTGTTGGTGACCTGGGTCAGTCCTCAGGTGGCCCATTTGGGAGGGAACAAGCGAGGGTGCAAATACCAGGAGGCGAGGACCCCGGGGAGGACATCTTCGAGGCACACTACACCCCCTCTGTGAGAGCGGGAGGCCCTGGCCGACTTCTTCCCCGCTCTGTGTGCTTGGCCCAGTGTTTGGCATGTGGCAGACACCCCATAAACATGTCAAATGTATGTGTGAACTGCTGCGGCACAGAGCACCGCTGTGTCTGTGTGCCATGCCTTATCTAAGCACTATCCACGCAGTATCTCACCCCCAGGCCCACCTCCCTGAATCCTTTGCACTGAGCCTCGGGGGAGTTAGTATCTTGATCAAAGTCACAAAGTGAGGAAGTGGCTGAGGTGGGATTTGAACCCAGGACTGTCGAGGAGGGTCCATGCAGGCTGGGCCCCTGAGTGGGTGTGAGTCAGCATTGATTGTACCGTGCTTATTAAGGACTCTCAGATGCTGTCAGACCAGCATGCAGCCAAACTCAGGAGCTCTTCGTAACGCCAAGTGTGGGGGGAGACTCAAGGAGAAGCATCAGGTCCCTCCCTGCCTCGGTCCTCGGCCACAAGGGTTAGCGAGCCAGGCTGCAGAGAAGTCGCTGCTCGGGAGGACCCAGCAAGAGGCACACAGACCTAGGAGGCACCTCCAGAGTCTAATCCACAGTCAGGGAACAGCCCGCGTGCTGCCCTGTCCCCTCATACCAGTGGCAGCCCTCGAGAAGCGATCACCTGGTCTTCCCCACTGAGGTCCTGACGCCCCCTGAGAGTGCTTCACAGCACAGCACGCAGCGCCTGCAGCAGGCTAGGCCTCGGGCTCTGGAGCTGGCTACAGCCGAGTGGGAGTTCTGGCCCCCCCCACTTACTAGCCCTGTGGTCTCACACAAGCTTCTCAGCTGCCCTGAGTCTCAGGTTCTTCACCTGTAAAACAGCGCTGTCACCCCCTCCTGCACAGGCGTGCTGACGAGGCTCAACTGCAGTGGTGCACGGGAAGCTCACAGCGCGGCACCTGGCACTGAGTGAGCACCCGATGCCATCGCCGTCTGCACTGCTGCTGTCTCTGCTGTGTGTTCCTCTGTCCCTCGTTCTGTGAGCGGGTTTTCACCAGACAGTCCAAGCTGGTGCTTCTGACGAATGCGCCAAGGAGGGGACCACGAATCGGATGCAGAAATGTCAGCGCTTCTCCCTTCTTCTCTGCAGGTGTGGATGTGCGGGGGCCGCATGGAGGACATCCCCTGCTCCAGGGTGGGCCATATCTACAGGAAGTACGTGCCCTACAAGGTCCCTGCTGGAGTCAGCCTGGCCAGGGTAAGCTGGTGGCTTCCCCTGGGGGTGGGGGAGGGTTGGACCCCAGAACCCCAGGACAAGTGATCCCTCGGTGTGCTCCCCCCCAACTCACCGTCCAGGTGAAACCCAGGGTGAAAGAACCTAAAGCCCTGTTTGCCCACATATTACCTGTGGGAGCCTGTGTTTCCGCCTCTGTTGAAAGGAAGCTGGCTGTTCCCAGCTCTTAGCTTTGCCAGGGGAGCCGAGGAGACAGCACCCTTTTCCCGAGTGTGACGGACAAGGTGATTGGAGCTGGTAGACGTGGGAACGTTTTTATTTACATGTGTTTAAGTTACGTGGATGAGAAATTAACGTGTATTAGTGTAGCAAGCTTGTGACTTCACAGACATCGTTAATTGGGATAAAGCTACAGCAGGTGCGAAGTTTGACCAGGGTGATTTAAAGGAATGTGTTACATAAATATTAATGCAGGCTGAGTGGTGTGTTTGGGAAAGCCTGAGACAAGGCACTTAAAAGTTCCCGGCACCGGGGCAGTTAATAAACGTCAGCGTCTTTCCGTTCTCCCCACCCCTCCCCACTTTTGTTGCCAAAAAGTCTGTGTCAAACTGTTTCATGCCTGCAAATGGTTTGTACTCATCATTGCTTGCATTAAATTGGCTGCTGGCTGCAACTGGAAATCTGTTGGCCAGAGGTTTGTTTTTTGTTTTGGGGGGAGTTGAAGGGGAAGTTGCGTGAGTGATATTTCACTGAACTTTAGTAATAAATTTTAATATATGAAGTGTTTCGAGAAGAAAAAGTCAAGATGACCACTAAAGAAAACCGAAGAGAAGGGAGTGTCCCCAGAGAGTAAGAGGGTCACAGAGAGGTTTTGGGGAAGCTGGAAAGGTCACCCGCACAGTTTTGCTCCTGGGGACCCCCCCACCCCGCACCTCCACCGCCCGGATAGAGCCCCCCTTGTAAGCCTGTTGGCATCAGCGTCCTCGGCCCAGGCCGCTGCCTCCAGTCCCTTATCACCTGACGGTCGACCACGTGCAGGAGTATAGCCCCTGAGTCCTGGAAGAGACCCCCTGTCCTGCGATTTACAAGAAGACTGAGAGACTCAAGAGGCGGGTCTTCCCCCCCCCCCCCCCCCCCCTTCCGAGGACGGGGAGCTGTCTCCGGAGGCGGCTTGCCTGGGGCTCTGGAGCTGGCTAGAAGGAAAAGAGGGCTGGCAGTGCCCTCTAGTGGCCTAAGGCTGCAACAACAGCCGCTGCACCAGCCCTCCGCTTTGGACAGCTCCAGCCGACCCAGGGGCGGGTTCTAGAGTCAGCGGGAGAGGCAGGAATGGCGATTTATCTGAAATACCATTTGCAGTCTCAGAGGTGTCAGGCAGAAAAGCAGGGCAAAGTGGCTCAGTAAGCCAAGACCGGCTTCCAGCCATGAGGGATGTGGGACCATGGGGGCACCTCTGAGGCCTGAACAGAACCATTCCCAAAGCATCCCCTTTCTATCCAGAGCTGTCGTGTATAAGATGGGCCTGACAAAGAGGCACCGCCTCCTGTTCGTGGAGCCATAGACGGATTCAATGGGTAACGGCTAACTGGAGTAGCACGTGAAAACTTCCGTGAGCTAGCAAAGCATCTTACATACTTATCTCACTCAATTCTCACTTGCTTTTAATCCCCATTTAGAGATGAGGAAAGTGAAACAGAGAGACAGGAAGTACAGAGAGTCAGAATTTAAACCCACTGAGGTCTGACTGGTGCCTGGGACAGAGCAGTTGTCCCTTAAATAGTGACTGCTAGTCTTAGCACCAACATCCACGTCGGCATCAACATTAGCGATCCTGGGAGGTTTATTTCGGTGTCTCACTTGATTTCTGTGTTTATACACGTTCATTTCTCTCGTCTGCACTGACTCAGTCTCCTGTGCCTTGGAACCAGCTGCCAGTCCAAGGGGCGCCCCACTCAAGTTTTCAGGGCCACAGAGCCGCCAGGTGGACGCGCCCCAACATCCGATCTTTGTGTCTTATCTGCCCTCCTTAGCTGCAGATCGGACTTTAAATGTTTGCTTCGTCCTGAACAGCCAGTTCCTTCTAGAGCATTCTCTCTCGCAACATCGCTTGGGCAGATTCGAGGGGAAGGAATATTCTCCAGGTCCCGCGAGGGCCCTGTAAAGAGGGTAACCAAGGCCTCCCTGAAGCCGTGGGGACTCCAGAAGGACAGGCAGCCAGACCGCAGCGCAGGAAGGAGGAGCCGCCCCACCAGCGCGCCTGCCCCCAGAACGGGCAGCCAGTCGTCACTGGTTCACTCACTGTGCTGAAATCCCTGCCTCTGCCTCTGGGAAAGGGGTCTTAGGGAAGGCAGTAGCAGCAACCCACTCAAACTTGGCAAAAGAAAACGGGAGACTCACTCCAAGTATCGGGCAAGTCTCCGTATTCCATGCACGAGAAGAGCAGTTCTGGGGCCCAGAACCAGGAAGGTGTTGGGAGGAATGAGAGGACCCCTGAAATCCCAGGCTCCTCTTCACGATTCTCCCGAGGGGAGATGTAAAAGAAATAAACGCAAAGCCCTTTACGCCTTGCTCCAGACAGCTAACTGTGCAAAAGTTCACGATCTGGGAGAAATGGCTTATTAAGTCATAGCTGGAAAATGGAATATTCATTAAAATAGACATATAAATATTGACTATAGTTAAAATACTGTGTGATTTGGTCCTTTGAGAATAGCACTGGTGAATTTCAGCACCCCTCCCTGGTCCGACCTGCCCCCTTTGCTGGCTGCGTCAGCAGGTCCGACAGTGAGCCAGAGGCCGGGGGCGGGCGGCCTGGGAGAGGGAGTTCAGACTCGTTAGGCCCGCAGCTTCCTCTGGGCAGCTTCCTCTGGGCACCATTGTGCATCAAACCCAGCCTTTGCCGTGCAGGGCCTGCTGGGGACAACACTGTTCTTGAACTCTCTTCTGACCCGCTGTCAACCTCTTTGGCACTGAGCAAGAAGGAAGTGGTGGCAAGGAAGTCCCTTAGTTTCCTGGTCCCAAACTCAGAGCCGACACAATTGAGGAGCTGATGAATTTTGTCACTGGTACCAGGGCCTCCTCCTGTTGTCCTCCTTTTTCCTCACTCAGGAGTCACTGAACTATTTTTGTGTAGCCTGTGAGCTAAGAAGATTTTTTTGTGACACATAAAAGTCATATTCTATTTTTTTTTAATTTTTTAAATTGATTTGAGAGGGAAAGAGAGAGATTTGTTGTTCCACTTATTAATGCATTCATTGGTTGTCTCTTGTATGTGCCCTGACTGGGGATCGAACTGGCAACCTTGGTGTATCAGGACAATGCTCTAACCAACTGAGCTGGCCAGCCAGGACATGAAAATCAGATTTCATTGTCCATGTAGTTTTATTGGAACGCAGCCACACACACTCATTTACATAGTGTCTAGGGCTGCTTTATAGCTACATCATCAGAGTTGAGATCATATGGTCTGCAAAGCCTAAAATATTTACTATCTGGCCCTTTACAGAAAACATTTGCCTTAGAGCAGTCATTTACACTGAGGTGTGAATGACTGATAACAGTCTAAGCGCTGGCTCCCTTTTACCCTTCAGAAGAACATTTGGATTGCAGTAGGAAAAAAAAAGTTTATGGTAGAGAGAAACCCTGGAGACTTAAATGTGTGTGTTAGGGGGAGGGCGGATTTCTGGCGACAGCCAGGGTGAGAGGGGGTGTTTCAGTCCTCAGTGTGTGTTTCAGGAGCTGGAACTTCCCCTGAGCCCCGGGAGGGGGTGGGGGGGGTGGGGGGGGAGGGTGCCTCCAGAGCCGGCTAAGGGGCTGGCAGCGGGTGGCGTCTGCAGGGCAGAGGGAGGAGGGATGTCACCTCGGCTGCACAGAGTTTACTCTTCCTCCGTCTCCAGGTCTGCACACACATGGGACATTTCCTTACCCGTGCCTCTATTTGCCAGTAATGTGGTTGTCATTTTCTTAATTACTGATTATCCTTGTGCTTCATAATAAAAACAGCAGCAACTGTCCCACCTCAAAAAAAAAAGTATTTAAAACTCCAGCTGGTGATGGAATTCTACTTTTGGCTGCAAATTAGAATTTATTTTACCATGCAACTTGGTCAGCAGTCTCGGTTGAAAATAACAGAAACCCAACCCCAAGTAGCTTAAGCAGAAAGAGACGTTACCAACTCCTGCAGGTGGAAAGTGCTGAGGTGGCTCCGACTTCCAGCAGGGCCGGATTCAGGCACTAAAAGGGGGAAGGCGTTGCTCCCTCCAGCCTCAGCTCCGCTTCACTCTGGTTCAGCGTCGGCCCTGGACAGGTTTCCATATGGCCCAGCTGCTCTGGCTGGCATCCTACCCATCACAGCGTGCCCAGCAATCCAAGCAGAAACGCTGTAGTTCTGCCTCACGGCGCCAGCAAAAATTCCAGGGCTAATCACTGCCTGTTGATTCTGATTGGTTTGGCTAAGATCACGTGCTCACTGACCTGGCCCGCGTGCCCAGGGCTGCCTGCATGTTTCCCGATAGCCAGGCTGAGTCCTGTGCCACGTAACGCGAGGCAAAGGTGGGTCCGCAAAGGAAAACCAGTGGGAGGCTGTCGCTAGAAACAGAGGGGATGGAAAGTGGGCAGGGAAGGCCTGTTACCCAAGTGTAGCTGTAGAGTCTTTGAAACGCGCATAAATATTAGACGCACAGAAAGCCTAAAACCGCGGTGGGGCTGGGGGGAGGGGGGCTGATGCAGCCACGTAAAATGAGACAAATTGACCTCGATCTCCAGGGCCCTTTGCCCCCCACAGCCAGGCCTCAGCGCCTCGGAGCACCTGACCCTTGTACCCGCCTGTGGTCCCTGCAGAACCTGAAGCGAGTGGCGGAAGTGTGGATGGACGAGTACGCGGAGCACATCTACCAGCGCCGGCCCGAGTACCGCCACCTCTCCGCGGGGGACGTCGCCGCCCAGAAGAAGCTCCGCAGCTCGCTGAACTGCAAGAGTTTCAAGTGGTTTATGACCAAGATCGCCTGGGACCTGCCCAAATTCTACCCGCCCGTGGAGCCCCCGGCCGCAGCCTGGGGCGAGGTGAGTCTGGAGGTCGGGGCCAGCTACCTTACTGGGGCGCAGTGCACAGTGCGCGGGCGGACGGTATTCACGGGACAGGCAGGAAAAAGGGCTGATAAAGATATAAAATGCAGAACAACTTCTCGTCTGTCCTGATCTCTCTCTAGCCTTGTTGTGGTTTTTGTTGTTTGGGGTTTTTTGTTTGTTTGTTTGTTTGTTTTTTGTTTTTGCTGTTTAATGACCCAAGTAGAGAAAAATAAAACTTTAAATGATTGGCATAAATTTACCACTTGCCTTTAGATCCTGTGCTGCCAGTTTTAAATGCACATAGAGAGGCATTCACTGCATGTGCAGAATTGGTGAAATGTCCCCGTTTGGGTTTCAAACCCTGTGTATTTCTTACCAAAATGGGAGACCCTGCACAAAATGAAGGAAGCTGGTTTTGTCTCACTGCCTGCCTTGGGCCTGCTGAGGAGTGAGGCAGAACTGAAGGAAGAGGAACTGGGGGTGGCCCTGCCCTGCCCTCTTGTTCTGGGTAACCCTCTGCTGTAGTGAGAGGCTGGTGTAGGGCATAGCGCAGGTCAGAAAGGACAGGACAGGGCTCCCGGTCCCTCCTGTGTCTGGGAGCGAGTTCTGGTTGGGAGGAAAGGCATGGCTTCCTTTCCAAGCCCCACTCTGTCAGCACCCCAGTCACTCCTAGACAGAGCGCACACACTCGCTCAGAGCCTCGCTGAACTCTCCCCGGCACGTGGGGCCCCGGACTTCTGGGCACTGCCGAGGCTGCAGGCAGACGCAGCGGAGGGGAACGTGGGTGCTCGCACAGCCTGCGTCACCTCTGCCCACAGGCCCGCTCCCTTGTGCCATCAGGTTTCGCTTGCAAGTGCAAAGATAAATTATTAAAAATTTTAAGATAGAGGCAGCAAGCTTTCGTCCAGCACAGGCCCTTCTGAGCGAGGGACCCTAGCAACGATGACTCCTGTCCCATGCCTGGGAAGCCAGTCCTGCTGGCAGAGGCGGACAGTCTTCCCCCAGGGAAGCGCTCAGTCACAGGCTCCGGGCTCCGGCTTCTGGTTCCTGGGTCTCCAGGCTCAGAGGGGCCGCTCACTTGTACGTGGATGTAATGGGGAGAGGGACCAAATTCTCTGAGGGGGGTGGTGGAGTCCTCCTTTGAACACCCGCTCACCTCCAGGCCTTGCCCCGAGCCGCCTGCCCTGAGACGGGTGGGGTGGAGAGGCCCTCCTCTCCGTGGACCCAGCATTCCTCCACCGAGGAATGCCTCCAGGCACTGCCCCCAGCCCTGGGCAGCTCAGAGCTCAACCCATCAAGGGTCTCTGCTCTGGTTCCCTCCCTTGCCCCACACCGCCCTCGGGGGCCCCAGAGGGAGTCTCGAGGGGCCTCACAATGCACGCTCTTCCCCTTCCTTGTCCAGATCCGCAACTTGGGCACCGGGCTGTGTGCGGACACGAAGCACGGGGCCCTGGGCTCCCCGCTGAGGCTGGAGAGCTGCGTCCGGGGCCGCGGGGAGGCCGCCTGGAACAACATGCAGGTGAGGGCCACTCCTGGGGCGGCACCAGATTCCCTGTGCTCCGGTGCGAGGGGCAGGGAGGGACAGGCCACGGTCAATGCTGAGTGACTAAAGTCGGCCCAGGGCACCGGTTATAAAAGCTTCCTGAACACTTTGGAAAGAGGAGCTCTCCACTGCGATAAAGCCACCAATGTGCACTGCTGGTTACAAATGCTGCAGACAGTGCAAGTGGCCTTGGGCAACAAGGGGGAGTGACCAGCTCGTGTCACCCAAGTCTAGATGATGTCCTTGGGATCTCTCCAGGGCCCCAACTCTGCTTCCCACTCTGTTGGCCCCTACCTCTTCCAGCACCTACCTCTTCCCACGGGGTGGCAGGCGGGACACCAGAGCCTCCAGTGGGAAGGCTTGCCCCTTCCCGAGCTCTGGAGAAGCTCTCGCGTGTTGGCTTCCTGAGCCGGTCACAGTGCGGATACCACACGGTCCTCATACTGATCAGCCCAAAGTCACGTGCTCCCTCTGCAGCCTGGGGTTCGGTCAGCCTCACCTGGAGGAGAAGGGGAAGAGAGGCGGGGTGGCTCCCCAGGAGATGTTCTCAGAAGAAGGAGGAGTGCAAGCCAGCCTTGCCGGAAAAACCGCCACCCTCGGGAACTTGGCTTTCGGGGATTCTGTCCTCCGAGCAGTTATAACCCCAATATTCAATCACACGGCATCCTCTGAACCTTGGCTGGAGGAAACACCTTTACAGCCTCCTTACTGTAGACTTGCTGGTGTTTTGGAAGTTACACTGAGATGAGCCTATCAGGCGGGTCCTGAGCAAAAACAGAAGTTGGAAGGTCCCAGCAGAGTCCCCGAGAGTGCCCAGCACCACCCCTCGTGCGGGCACAGAGTGCAGCCCGCCCACCTCTGCCCGCCCTCTGGAGTGCTCGCTGCTCCCCCTCATCTTTTTTTTTTTACAGATTTCATTTATTTATTTTTAGAGGCAGGGGAAGGAAAGGAGAGAGGGGGAGAAACATCACTGTGTGGTTGCCTCTCGAGCACCCCCACTCAGGACCCAGGCATGTGCCCTGACTGGGAATCGAACTAACAACCCTTTGGTTCTCAGGCCAGTGCTCAGTCCACGGAGCCACACCCGCCAGGGTGCCCCTCGTCCTTTCTTCACAACCATTCTCATTGGGGTGATTCTCCTTGACTGGCTCTTCGGAATTCCCCGAGGCCCTGATATGTCTGTCGGATTTGCTTCCAGACGAGGTGGGGGTGGGGGTGACGTCGGAAGGAGGTGCACCACGAGCTGGTAATTGTTGAAGCCAGGTGGTGGCGACAGGCGTGGTCAGGATACGCTTTTTCCGGACCTCTGGACTTAAGTGTTTCCATAACTACAAAACAAAAAGTCCCCTCACGCCGCCGTCCCTCTCCCGCCGCCCCTGCGTGCGCAGGTGTTCACCTTCACCTGGAGGGAGGACATCCGGCCCGGGGACCCGCAGCACACCAAGAAGTTCTGCTTCGACGCCGTCTCCCACACCAGTCCCGTCACCCTGTACGACTGCCACAGCATGAAGGGCAACCAGCTGTGGAAGTACCGAAAAGTAAGACAGGACTTGGCGGGGGGGCGGGGGCGGGGGGCGGTGCGCGGGCCGCGGGGGGGGGGGGTGACCTGCTCGATTTTAAAAAGGGAAGACAGAAAGAAAGCAGAGTGGCGCCTCCCCCCAACAGAGCCCACTCACGCCTGCATGCGCCCCACTAACCTGCCGTGCCCGACGTTCTAGACATGCAGGAGGAGCCAGAAATCCAGACCTCCGTGTAAAATCTCTAGAATCCTAAATGCTGGCAACCAAGCCCACTAAACACACCCTCCCCCCCCACACATACACACACACACACACACACACACACACACAGTGAGGACCAGTGGGATCTGGAGACGGGCGGTGACTGGCCGCATGCCCCGGAGGAAGGCCGCTCGGGCCTGTGAGCCCCTGGCCGGTCCCTGCCTCGCTGCCTCCTGGCCGCCCCTGCCGCTGCTGTTGCTCGCGATCCCCAGCGCCGCCCGGCAGGTAACCCTGGTGTTTTGCAGGACAAGACCCTGTACCACCCGGTCAGCGGCAGCTGCATGGACTGCAGCGAGAGCGACCACAGGATCTTCATGAGCGCCTGCCGCCCCGCCTCTCCCACGCAGCAGTGGCTGTTCGAACACACCAACTCCACAGTCCTGGAAGCGTTCAACAGAAACTGAGCCCGCGTCTCCACAGCAGGCCTGGCGGGGCCCTCCCTGCCGCGCCCCACAGGGCTCCCACGGGCACCAGGACAGAAGGGTGCTGGCTGGACACTCTTGGCAAAGCCGGCTCTCGAAGCTGGAGCCAGGCATCTGCCCGATGCCAGAGGCCCTGGGCTGTGGGGCAGGGTGGAGAGCAGACCCTGCAAGAGGCCCCACGCGGGTGCAGAGCCTGTGGTGACCCCTGACAGCATCGTGGAAATCCCGGCGGGCCTGCTTGAGTGTGTCACCTTGTCCCCGTGAGTGTGCTGCAGGAGGAACGCCGGGGCAGCCCTAGGCCACCCAGAAACTAGGCGCGTGGGTGGGCGTCCTTGAGAAAGGAAAGCCCGTGCTGCCTGTCCGGGGCGCTGTTAGCTCGTTGCCACCCCTCTGCGGGGGAAGAGAAGGAGGTGCTGGGGACGCCGGTGTCAGCCTTTCAGTGTCGCCCTGTCATGGGGGTAAGTGCAGTCACTGCCCAGCTTCTGTCCTCTGTCACAGCCCCGGGGAGTGCAGTCGAAGGCCACCCCTGGGGTCCCCAGAGAGTTCAGAGCTCAAACCCGCCAGCTGCCAGGCCTGGGGCCAGAAGCAGGACCCTCAGATGTTCCTGTGCAGCCGAGGACGTGCAGGGTGTTCCCGCCTGCTCCCTGGGTGCCCGCGAGGCCCGTTCTAGGGCCCTCAGGGCGCACGGCCAGCCCAGCCACCAGCTCTCCCAGGCCGTGTTTCAGACAGCCGTGGGTGCGTGGGGAAGGCCGAGTGGGTCTCCAGGCTCGGAATTCTGGCCAAACATCCTTGGTCAGTGCTCCCATTTCCTCTCCTCTCCCCTCCCCCCTCCTCCCCTCCTCTCCCATCTCTCCCCCTCTCTCCCCCTCTCTCCCTTCCTCCCACTTTCTCTCTCTCTCTCCCTCTCTCTCCCTCTCTCTCCCTCTCTCTCTCTCCTTGGAGAAAGCAGCAGAGGCGTGGAGTACTCACCTCCCAAAGTCCGGAGGCCACCAGGGTAGTCCATGGCCGGGATGCCTAGTCTCTGGCCTCATCATGGTCCTAGTTCTCATACCGAACTCTAGAGTTTTTAAGGAAGTCTGTAATCCAGTCACACTCCAGAGTGCTACACAGGATTCCGGCATTCTGGCGTCCCACGTGGGTTGTGATTAAAGGAGCCAGCCAGGTGCGATGCCCTGCAGTCTGTGAACTCCAGGTTGGTGGCACTGGGGACTGTGACCTGAAGCCCTGCAGCCTCCCACCACCCTAGCCGCAGCGGAGAGACGAACCCAGGCCCCGGGAACAGGTGCACACTCCGCTCCGCGCCGGTCCTTCCGGTTTACCTTTTGCTCTGCTAATTACATGTCAGGCTCCCAGAGGCTCCCGAGCTCACAGGAAGCATGTCTGTAACCAGCCTGCCACCCACTGATTCAGAGATGGAAATCACATCCCACGGCCTATGGCTTCCATCAGCTAGCCCAGGAAACACTTGAAGTCACTATTCCAATTAGAGTTGGGTCTCTCTATTGTATCGTTTGCCAATTAAATAACTGAGACATAAATCTGGGAATGAAGCCACAAATCTGGCTTTGAGATGCTGGCTGATCTCAAGGCCATCCGTGATCGTGGGGAGGGAGGACTAAACCTTCCCGGTCACGACCACCCCAATTAAGCACGCAGCTGGCAAAGATCCCTTCTGCCCCCACCTCCCCTCCCCTGCAAGCCCAGCTCTGGCCACCTCTCTGCAGGAGAGGCTGCCCCTGTACTTGCAAAGCTTGCTGGTTGAGCCCTAGCGTCTTTTCCAAACGAGCGTTACATCGTTCGCAGTGGTCCCCCTCGGGAAGGAGTCACACGGTGAGGCCCCTTCCGGAACCTCGGGTCGCAGGAGTGCCGTAGCGTGGAGAGCTGAGTCAGGATGCGTCATCAGAGAGCAATGCAGCATCATTAAAATAAAAACTGTGCCTTTTAAAAAGAGAAAATGCAACTGTACAGCAAATCCCTAAACTTGAACCATTTCCTAGTGCCTTGCTAGACAAACGTAGAGAGGCAGGGGTGGGGGGAGGGGAGTGTCTTGGGTGGTATGTGTGCAGTCCCTGTTGGATGAGTGTGTGTTTCTTCACGTCCGATTTCAAGCAGGAGAGGCTGGGCCAAGAGCAGGGTCTGAGGGGGAGGTGTCCCCTAGGGTAGAGTCCAGAAGTCGTTCCATTTAGAGTGACACTCGAGACTGAAAGGACAGCTGGACAGCTCGGGTAGCCTGCGGCCTAAAAGGACCGCAGCAGCCCCTGGACGAAGGCCCTGTCTGGAGGCCCTGCCTGCAGCCCCCCAACCAGCCCCCAGACAGAGTGCAGAGCACTGGCTGCATTCCCACGTGGTCCCACTCCAAGTGGGGGACAGTGTTCTCCGCATGACCGGGACTCATGTGGGAAGCGGGAGCAACCCCAAGCAGCCCCCCACCTCCCTTTCCCCCACCCTTTGGGTCTTCTTTTCAGGCTGGTTCTGCCCCCTCAGCAAGGGACGGGCAGGTCCTCCCAGCACCCTGGCCTTTGTCAATGCTGAGCCCACAAGCCGAGGTGCCACAGTTGACAAAGTGTGGGATGGGGATGGCAGGAGGCAAAGTCATTGCCTGGCTGACCGACTGGCTGGTTGCAAATACTGGCCACTCATTGTTTTGGCTTCATTCTTTGGTTTGGTTTGGGTTGTTTTTTTTAAACTAGCTACGCTAAGGATTCAGATTTCTGCTCACACCCCCAGCTGATGCCCAACTAGAACAGCCAGCAGGCTGTGGAGAGGCTGTGAGCCAGGTAAGGGGTGAGGACGTGGGCCCCTTCCCCTCTGAAACCCTTATTCTGAGCATGAGGTCACAAAACAAATGAGTGGCTGCCGTGTGGCGCACCAGCAGCCTTCCCAGAGGGGCTCCAGAAACATTTTGGAACACAAAGAGCATCTTTGCCGTGAGTACAAGGCCGTCGGAGGTGGCCGACTGTGCAGGCACAGGTGTGGAAAGCCCCACACGTCATGCCTCCAACTGGAGCTTGTTGCCACCTTAAAAACAGCCCAGAAATGGTCGATCCCCGCTTTAGGGAGCAGTAACCCAGAGGCGGGAGGGGTGCACACGCAGACGGGATCTGACCTGAGGGTCAGGGGAGAGAGCAGCTGTTGAAGGTGGAGCGCGTGGGTTCCCGAAGTCCACATCGCACGCACTTTTCACACCTCCTACCTGTGGAATTGCTTTTTCTGCCTGAGAAATCGGCGACCTGCTTGAAAACGGCTCTGTATTTCTTTCTGTGCGTCTCCATTTCTCTAGTCTCTGGAGTCTCAAGAGTGGCAAAGCATTGTGCAGGTGCGCCTGGAAAACCTGAGTCCTTGCCTCTACGCCCCCCACTGTGTACAGATTGGGCTGCCTTTTCTAGTTCCTAGGAGACCATGTATTTTTAATGCTTTCTGAAGATTTCCAAGTGTGGGGGAGGGGCAAGGAGTTAGTTCTGTTCTGGAACTCCTTTCTGCTTTCAACTGATGCTCGCGTGGAAACCCAAGTAGTAATATTTTAGTTCCCATTTGATCTTGAGCCAAGGCCCACTGTGTCCCTCGGGGTGGGCGTTGGACCTGCGTTCCAATGGGCAAGGTCCCATTAACATCTGCTCCCAGAATGGCTTTGATCCCGCCGTGCCAGACCGTGGGGGCAGGCTCCTGCCGTGTTTGGGCAGACAGACTGGGGTCCCGGGGTGCGGGGGCGGGGGGGGCACTGCAGGCAGGGGGTATTCGAGAAGTCAGACGGGGACCCCACCGAGAAAGCTTGAGGCCGCCAGCCTCTCTTCTCCTGCCTGGGAAAGTGAGCCTTTGTGAAGAACTGACGTATGTGTACAATTGTGATTGTTGTCGAGTAAACCTCCAGACTTTCTCTAACGTGGTCTCTGGTTTGTTCCCGGAATGCGCCATTCTCCCTGCCGTCATTCCCACTCGGTGCCCAGGCCCTCTGCTGGGTTCCGAACCAACTCCCAACAGCCATCCTTCCAGAGAGGAAAGCAGGCCTAAAACAACTAACTAAGATGCTTTCAGACGTGAACAGGGCTCTGGAGGATGTAAAGCGAGATATTTTAGAGATATTTTATTTTATAATCTGTTACTTATCCAGAAACAGATTTAGAAGACTTGGCAATTTGCTGGACGTTAGGAAGGGTCGTCAGGGAATGCATCTCTGCAAGAGCTGAAAAATGTGAGGGCGTGTGAGCCAAGAGGAAATGCAGTGGGGGTGGGGGGAGTTCCAGGCAGAGAACAGCGAATGCAAAGGCCCTGAGGCAGCAAGGCCTTCCCACATTGGAAGCTCACAGAAGAGTTAGGCAGGTCTGACAGAGTACACCCAGTGTGGGGGGGGGGTGTTCGGGGGGGACAATAGGAAATAAGCTGAGCTTGTTTCTAATGTGCACCCCTCAGCCACAAGTCCCTGTTTACCAAGACATTTTGATGCTTTTGAGCATTAGATTTGAGTAATACCACGTGGTGGAAAGAGCACTGGCTGGCCCGCCTCTGCTACAGACTCCGTGAGGTCTCGTGCAAACCTGCCCCCTTTCTGGACTCAGTCTTCCTCAGTAAAAGTGAGAAGTTTTTGGATGATGCTTCCAGCTCCACCTATGTTCCTGCAGTTGAGTCGGTGTGGGGCTGCCCGCGGCCAGGAGCGAAAGCTGCCTGCTGTGCTGTCACTCAGGGCCCACCAGAGGGCGCTGCGGACCACAGTCTGGGTAAAGGCCAATGGACAGGAAGGGCGGGTGTTTGCGGGCCACTGTGGCAGGCTGGAGCCCTGAGAGGGTCTGTATCTCCTTTTGTAGCTTCCGTTGTTTTTTGAAAAATCTTCTACCACCCACGAACAAGATAATTTCTTGTTGTAACGGTTTCTTTTAAAAGTTTGAACCCTTACTAGGACAAAAAGGAAAGAGAACATCCCAGGTGCTGGGGGACAGTAGGTGCAAAGCCGCTGTGGAGGGAGGTGGCAGGTGTGGAGGCCAGTGAGGCTGGAGCGAGGTGGGCAGCACCCAGACCCTGTCAGGCCGTGCAGAGGTGTCTCTGATCTTTGTTTTAAAAGCAGGAGGAGCTATTAAAGGGTTTGTTTGTTTTTAAATATGTTGTGTATGTGTGTTTTTTAAGGCAGGGAGAGGGACATCGATGTGAGAGACATGTCCATCAGTTGCCTCTCGCACCACATGCCCGGACGGGAGACTGAACCAGCCACCCCGGCACATATCCTGACCCGGAATCAAACCTGTGACGCTTCACCTTGCGGAACGAGGCCTGACCCACTGAGCCACACACAGTCAGGGCCATTAAAGGGCTTTAACTGGGCAGAGTGAGAGCAGGTGCCCTCGGCTGATTCCAGAGCCAGGAATGCCCTGCTGGAGGAGCTGGGCACAAAAGCACTCAGGGCCTACGGGGTGGGAGGCAAATCCAAGGCAGCTGGCCCCCGGGGCCTCCGCAAAGTCCCTGACGGCCGGGAAGAAAGGTCCGTCTTCCCTGGAGCAGGTGAGAGGACAGCGTGAGATTCCATTTCTCATCCTCCCGGACCTACAACTGAGAGTAGAAGCCAGGCACCAACAGCACTTGGCCGCACACAGAGTAGGGGCTCTGGGATGCTTATTCAGAAACGGACTTAGAGAAGTGGCAATTTGTTCAAAGTTTTGAAATCTCTTTTTCTCTGTACTTAGTTGCAATGAGGGCTTTGAGGCTCCTAGCGAGAGCCCAATAAGTAGTTAAGGAATGGACAGACACTGTTTGAACAATACCGTCTCAGGTTTCACGTTAGGCCTTTTGTTCCTCCACTCCCAGCCCCCAGATCCTTTCCCGATGGAGAGCCCGCCCACACTTGTTCTGTGTGCCCTTGAGAAAGTCCCTTCCTGTCCCCTGGCCTCAGATTCTCCATATGACAGTGGGAGAAGGGAAGCAAATTAGATCGAGGTCAGCCCAGACTCAGTGCTACAAATCTCGCATCTCTTTTGCAATGGCCCTGGTCTTGTTAGGGATTATTTGCCAAGTTCAGCAAGGGGATGGGAGTGGGACCTTCAGGCCTTTTGCTGAAGTGGGTCCAGGATTCAGCATCCGAAGTGTCCTTCTTGCTCGTGGCTCTGCCAACCTCTGGCCTCGGGCAACTGCCTCCTGTTTTGTTCACACACAAGGCCTGGCTGCCTGGCCTGGCAGGGCCTGGGCTCCACGGGGGTGCCCCAGGGCAGCCTGCAGTTCTTACCCTGGAGACTGACCTGGCTCATTCAGGGTTGGTGGGGTGGTGGCCCTTAGTGCACTCACACACTAACACGCCAGTGCCAGCGAAACCAAAGACTGCTCCAGGAACCCTTAGAAAAAGCAGGTTTCCTGGCAACTTTACAGCTTTTGTTCATGAGCTACTTTGAATTGTAGTGTCTGATCTCCTGCCAGCTCCTGCCTGGGGATGGGGAGAAGGGGGTGGTGGGGCTGCCTTTGCTGGAGCTGAGAACTAAGCGCCCCCACCATTGCTCTGTACTGAGTATAGATCAGTAATTCGTTAACACTGACCTTGGGGCCAACGGCGCCATAACTAGTGACTCGATGAAACCTGCCTAACGCGTGTGTCACATCTTAGTGCTTACACACACAAGGCAGCACCTCGGCATTGCACGTGAGGGGCATTTGAAACCAAAATCACCAACTGAAAAAGTACACAAATGTGAAAAACGTGGCACCAGATAGACCACAAAAAGGACACGGGTTTACAGCACGAGAGCGGGATGGGCCTCAGCTGGGAGTGTGCGTGTTAGGCGACTCGAACCCGGCACCAGTCTACACGTATTGTGCATGCACGTGTCTGCAGGTGACCCCGCAGGTGCCACCAGTGTCAGTTTTGAGGTCAGCAGTCACAGATACAAAACCAGTGAATCATGAGAATCTTTGTTATTTTATTCACTCATTCGTTGACTTAATGTCTTTCTCCTCCACCCAGCCTCCGGAGGGAGAGGCTCCATCTGTGCGGCCCACCACAGTGTCCCCAGCTCGCAGCAGAGCTGGCCTGGACTCAGAAGTGGTTGGGCGTTTGATGCCCCACCACCTGACTCTGGAATTTTAGTTTTGCAAATACAGTCCTTAGTATTTATGTTACCATTAGCCACATACCTAGTTAAGGCCAAAATAAAACACCTTTCCGGGAGTGCCTTTTTCTAACCCAACTCACAAAAGACTGATAAATGAAAAGGTTAATTTTTTCATGGGTGTTAGAATTTTCCAGTGACCCACACAATGATGTGCAGGCTCCAAGTATCTGTTGAATTATAACTTAGAAACCTGCTTGGAGATCTGGCATTACAGGAAGGGGAAGCAGAGAGGGCGAAGGGTTTTTGCCTTCCGGTGGCAGAGCCGGCACACACCCCGACTTCCACACAGAACTGGCTTCTGAAAACGAGCCTAATGTTGAAAGAAGAAAAGTCAGACAACAAATTTGTCCTGTCAGCAGGGCTCAGCTGTCCCTAGGGAATAAAAAGCAGTATATAACATTTCCGATTACAACTGCATTTTTGACACAATCTTTGATGATATATTTCCTTCCTCTCCTGTCATATCTTCAATGTGATTATTTTCCTTCAAAAGGAATGTGATAAAAAAACAGGCTTAAGAACATCACATGGAGGCTAAAGATTCTTTCCTTTCTGCGAATCTAGTGATTTATCCTTACATCGATTATAAAGAATTAGGGATACACATACTTCCTTTATTGAGATATAATTCACCCACTTAGAGTGTACAGCGTTCTTAGCATATTCACAAGGCTGTACAACCATCACCACTTCCTAATTCCAGAACATTTCTATTGCCCCAGAAAGAAACCTGTACTTTAGCATCACTAAAAGCATCACTCCCAACCCCCATGCCCCGTCCCTCAGCCGCTGGTCGCTGCGCATCTGCTCTCTGTGGATTCGCCTCTTCTGGACAGTTCACACAATGTGTGGTCTTTGCGTCCGGCTTTCACTTCGCATGTTTTCAAGAGTCGCCCAAATCATTGCAGGTGTCACACTTCACTCCTTTCCCCCGCAGGATACTATTCCATTGCCTACATATACCACGTTTTGTTTATCTACTCAACAGTTGATAAGATGTTTGGGTTATGGAACTATTATAAATACTTCTGCTGCCCTGGCTGGTGTAGCTCAGCGGATTGAGCGCAGGCTGCAAACCAAAGGGTCGCCAGTGCGATTCCCAGTCAGGGCACGTGCCTGGGTTGAGGGCCAGGTCCCCAGTGCAAGACATGTGAGAGACAACCACACATTGATGTTTCTCTCCTCTAAAAATGAATAAATCTTTCATAAATAAATAAATAAACACTTCTGCTACTATGAGCATTCATTTACAGCTTTTTGTTGGACATGTTTCCATTTCCCTTGGGTAGATATCTCATAGTGGCATTGCGAGGTCATATGGCAACTCTGTTTCATGTTTTAAGAAACTGCTAGACTGTTTTCCAAAGTGACTACCCCATGTTTGCATTCCTGCCGGCACTGTGCACTGTGCGGGTTTCATTTTCCCTGCACATCCTCGCCGATACTTGCTGCTCCCTGTCCTGTTGACTGCAGCCACCCCGTAGTCCTGTCTGTAGGACGAAGTGATATCTCACTGTGGTTTGGATTTACATTTCTGTAATGACCAGTGATGCTGAGCATCTTTTCACATGCCTATTGGCCAGTTGCATATCTTCTTTAGAGAAATGTCCATGAAATCCTTTGCTCACTTTTTCATTGGCTTATCGTTTTATTATCGAAGTATAAGAGTTCTATTATATACCCTGAATACAAGTCCCTTATCAGATATGATTTGCAAAGATTTTCCCCCGTTCTGTAGTTTCCATCTCTTGATATACACATATTTCTTGTCACTACTACTGGTACTTCCATTTTTTC